TCAAATCCGTTAAATCCTAGACCCAAAACTGGCCACAAGGACTCAAAAGCGGACCGCTGAGCCATCGGCTCCATGTTGTCCACCAGGATGGAGGTATGGTATGCCTCGTCGGTTTCGGGTTAAGGGCTTAGGGTTCAGGGTTTAGAGTTGAGGGTTGGGGGTTTAGGGTTGCAAACGGTTGTTCATAGGACATCCCTAAACCCCCAAACCCTAAACCAGGAGCCCCTCCTAAATCCCTGAATGCTAAACACCTTAACAACCCTAAACTACAAACGGCGCTAAGTGTGAAGGTTGCGTAAGGGTTCCAAAGAGATGGAACTTCAGGGCCCATTTTACCCGCAAGGGGCTGTAAAACAGCCCACGCAGACCCAACCAAACAAAGCCCAGGACAACCCCAGAAATTGCACCTACGAATGCTGCAGCCCAAGAAACCCTTGCAGTCACACTTGCTGAGCCATTACCGAACCTCTGCAGGGCGAAACCCTAAACCCTAAAACCCTGGACCGTTATAGACTGTCTGCTGCTTAGGAGGGAATGGTGGAATGGATCCTTATAGTAGTCCCTATATAATCCCCATAGTAGTCCCAATAACCCATTCCCCCATTCTCTACTAAGAACCAGACAAAAACCTCAACCCTATAGACTCTTATAGGCCCTTATAGACACCCTTATAGTCCCACGGCTTTTCACAACGCGGTGAAAGCAGCGGGGGGCTTTGGGCGGGGCGCAGCCACCCCCCATTTGCAAACACAATGCTCGCATGAATGATGGGCTTCAAAACATATGCTTCAAGAGCGGGGGGGTTGGGGGGGCGCAGCCCCCCCACCCCCATTTGCAAATACAAGGCTCGCATGATGGGTTTCGAAAACTTTCTTCCAAGCAAGTTTGCAGGGTTTAAAAAACAGCGTGGGTGGGGGATCCTTCCCTTCTTTCTTCCTTCCTTCTCTGATTCCTTCTGCTTCCTTCCTTCCTTCCTTCCGTTCTTTCTTCCTTCCTAGTAGCAGTAGCAGTAGTAGTAGTAGTAGTAGTAGTAGTAGTAGTAGTAGTAGTAGTAGTAGTAGTAGTAGTAGTAGTTGCACTAGTTTGCATTCCTACCTTGCCTTCTTCTGCCTTCTGGGCCTTCCTTTTTCTCTCTGTGCCTGCTCGCTTTCTTTTCGGTTTTGCCTTCCCTTCTGAGTTTGCCCTGCAGGGCCTGAGGCAATACTCCCAACAGCCTCAATACTCAACGGTTCATGGCTTGCTCTTAGCCCAAAGCCCTACAAAATAGTAGGTTATGACCCCTGAGTTAAAGGGTCTAACCCTCAAAACGATAGAGTCTCGCGTAGGATCTACTGTAGGGGCCTTTATAATTAGAATATGGTTTTGGGCTCCTTTATACTATACTTATAATAAGGAACCCGTAAGGACTAATGTTGGTAATTATTGAGCTTTAAAGGAACCCTCTTCTCATCAGTAGAGCCTTCAAAGGTGTGTTACCCTGCCTGGCCGAGGCCTGGCACATACGGGCCCAGTTCGGACGCTGCGAGGATCACCTCTTCGACAGCCCTAAACTATAAACCCTAAACCCCCAAACCCTAAACCCCAAACCCTAACCCTAAACCCTAAAGCTGTCGCGTTTCGGGTTCCTTAAACGGCTCTTTAAAGGGATCTATAGGGTTCCTTCGAGGTCTCCTTCAAGGGATCTTCTGGGTTCCTTAATGGAGCCTATAGGGTTTCGGGTTTAGGGTCTACTTAGACAGGATCATTGGACTTAGTAGCTAGGGTTCCTTAAAGGGTTCCTTAAAGGGTTCCTTGAAGGGTTCCTTAAAGGGCTCCTGAAAAGGGCTCATTAAAAGGGCTCCTTAAAAGGGATATTATAAGGTCTCTAAGAAGGGTTTTAGGGTTACTTAGAGGATCATGGGACTTGGTAACTAGGTCTAAAATTAAGGTAACTGTAGTAATGACTACTTATAGCCCCACTTAGGGTCCTTATAACCTTACTTACTAAGTTCCATGATCCTCCAAGTAGTGTTTGAGGATTAGGGTCAAGGTTTGGGGTTTGTGAGGAAGTTTTCTTTACGGGTTCCTAGAAGGATTCTGGGAGAGTTATGTTTGGGACTTAGAAGCCTTCTATCAATGCTTAGAAGGGCTCTATGATAAGAGTACTTAAAGACTCATGGGACTTAGTAAGTAAGGTTATAAGTAGGTTATAATTAGGATAGCCCCACTTAGGGGACTTATAACCCCAATTATAACCTACTTACTAAGTCCCATGATCCTTTAAGTATGTGTCAAAGTTCACAATGCTCTTCGCCGTGTTATGAGACTTGACGCTTGAGGCTTCGGGGTTTAGGGTTTAGGGTTTAGGGTTTGAGCTTGATGGTGTTCGGTGTAGGGTGGAGTTTCGAGGGGAGGGGAAGGACTGAGGATGCAGCAATTAGTAGTCTGAATCTAACCCACCCAAGTGCGCACGTGTGCGAGATGCAGAAAGTTCAAAGCCTAGCTTCGGTTTCGGTCGATTTGGGACTCCTCGTTCTGTAGCCGTACGAAACCAAGCTCCCATCCTGAAGCTGTGACAAGGAAGCCTGAATCCAGCCATGAATGGCTTGCCGATCCTGAAATAGGACTGAGGCTTTACGGTTTAGGGTTTGTCACAAGAGTAACCGCCAAGATGTTATTTCTTACAGGGGCCTTAAAAATTACAACAACGTTTTGGGGTTCCTTATTATGATTATAATTAGTATAATATACTAGAAATACCCCCAAATCCTACTCTAATTATTAAGGCCCCTATATTACACCCCCTGCCAATGTTCAACCAGAGCCCTATAGGCCCTCACCATGTCTCTAGTGTAAACTCGACCCCATAAGCCGTTCATTCTTTCGTTGCTCATAATATGGAAAATCCACAGTTCCCAAAAAATTGCTACTTCAAAGTCATGCAGGATTTGGTCCATCAGTCCTACTAGGCATTTCTGTTTCAGTTGTTGCTATTCCATACTATTCAACGTTAAACCCACGTGAGACCAAAAAAAACCGCAAATATACCTGCACTTATTATGATTACCCTAAACCTATATCCTTAATCCTAAACCCTACACCCTAAGCCCTCAACCCTAAGCCCTAAAGCCTAAACCCTAAACCCTTAACCTAAACCCTTAACTCTGGACCCTAAGCCCTGGCCCTAAACCTGAGCCCTCAACCCTAAACCCTGAACCCTAATTGCATCCCCAGGGCTTTTGGGGTGAAGGGTGCCGCCTGATAGGAGCGTGGAGTCTTCGTGCCGGAAAAGAACTTCATGTCGGGCTATTCCCTTCGTCACTCCTGCACTGGGCTTTGGGTTTTTTTTGGAGCCCCTTTTTCACCCAGCAATCCGGGCTTTGGGGTTTAGGGCTTAAGGTTGAGAGTTGCAGGGGGTGGCGTGTCAATGTCTGTGAAAGGTTCCAGAGAGGGTCGGAATTCTGGGTTTCGAGGTTTCTATACACAATTTAACAGGCTCTCAAGCTTTCCACGCGGGGCCTGCACGAGTGCTACAAGAAAGTCTTCCGCGAAGGTTGGCTTGTTCTGTGAACGGGGCTTGCTACTTCAGGGTTTGTGGTTCGTTCAAGCGCTGTTAAAAGGGGTTTGCTGTGTCAGGGTATAGGGCCCGCGGGGTTTAGGGCATTGGGGTTCAGGACTGTTTCCGGTCTAGGGCTTTGCAGTTCTGAGTTTTGGCGTTGTTGGTTTGGTGGTTCAGAGTTTCGTGCCTCTGAAGACGTCTCAGAGTTATAGATCGTGTTATTACGGTTTTCTATATTTCGTACGGATACACGTGAGAGTCCTCAAAGCAACATCAACCCGCTGAAAGCCACAGCAAGATGCTGCGAGTTTCCGAACATAGGACACTAACATGGCACCCTAAATTGCAGGATCCTATTTATACGGACCCAACATAAGGTACCACTAATTCTCGCAAACTCCCAAACCCTAAACTCTTTATGGAATAGTCCGTATAGATCCCTTTAAGGAGCCCTGAAAGCATGCCTTTCAAGCTACCTCTGATATTCGGAAACTCACACATGGAGGTCTCTGGACCAGATGTGTTGAAGGGCGTTCCCTAAAACCCTAATCCCCCAAACCCACACCCGAAAATCCGAAAAACCCTAAACCATGAACCCTAAACCCCCCAAACCCCTAAACCCTAACCCCAAAACCCTCAACCCTAAAGCCCGCAAAGCCGAAAACACACAGAACCCGTACAGACCCTGAACGGGCTCTGGGCATGAAGGTCTAGGCTCCAGCTCTTCGCTCAACCTTTAAAGGAAGGTTAAATGAGGTTTTGGGTTCAGGGTTTAGGACTTAAAGTTTAGGGTTTGGAGTTTATGGTTTAGAGCATGAAACCCCAGTTGCCGTCATGAACCTACAGACCCAAACCCTAAATCTGTGACCTTAACCTTCAACCAGCCTAAACCCGAAAAGAGGCCCTGACCCAGAACCCTCAGGTGCATGTTGGGGGCCCTGATGATTATATACAAAAGAACTTCCCGGCTGAACCCTAAATCCTTAGCCTAAACCTTAAGACCCCTAAAACCAAAACCCTTACCCCCTAACCCCTAAACCCTAAACCGGAAGCAGCTTTCTTTTGAGCTTCCCGGCTGTACCAGTAGCAACTGCCCTCGACTCCCGCATTGGATCTTGCAAAGCGGGGCATACATTCACGGTGACTTTCGGGATTCTGAACTTCGGGCTCAGGGTTTTTGGGCCTTAGGGGGCTGAGTGGCTCAGGTTTGGGAACCCCAATTCCTAAACCGGTGTACGGTTCAGGTCTCAGCTCGCTTCTGCCGCCTTCAAGGGGGAAGCTATGCTGAGAGCACATCGTTCGGAATGAAGAAAGCACTTGCAGCGTCGCTGTCGGGTTTCAGCTTGAGGGTTTAGGGTTTAGGGTTTAGGGGCCCAGTCTTACACCTTACATCATCGGTGGTGCGAGTGCTTTCAAGGAAACGTGCTGCAGAGACCTGCAAAGCCGCTCCGCGACAAGATGCTTATGTGAGCAGCAGCGAGATCTCATACTCCTTCAGGGCCACTTTCGGAAGGGCCCGTCGGATGCGTTGGGGGGCTAGGCGCCCACCCCGTCCGGACGACAGCCAGCTTGCACTGCCCTCCAAAAGCAAGACCTCTTCGGGCAATGCGCCCGGCATACCAACCTGCAGCACACATCTCCATCTCCCTGTGCCGTGAAGTGTATCCTCCCTGACAGCCAGTCGCCCCACGTCCTCATCCCATGCAAGTCTACGCATCTCGTAAGTGAACTGGCCATCTGGAAGCAGCGACAATCTTTCTGTCCTCTCCTCGTCCACATCCCAATTCAACTGGGCCGTGCGACGTCTCGAAAAACACTTCTGCACATACCAGTCAGGATGCTCTTGCAACACGACGTGTATTGTACAACCCACAATCTCTGCGGCACGGGTACTTTGATCCAGGGGTTCCTTCTCTGAGTCTGCCTGCTTGAAGAACTGCAACAATGGAGTCTCGTCGTCCCTACCCAAATCCAGAACCCCGGCAATGCGCACCTGCATGTCTTGCAGCCTCTCGCTCTCCGTGCAGGAGATGACTGCAGCTCGCCCACTCACCAAGCACACATCGAAGCACACCAAGGCACCAGAAACGGTGCAGCTCATGGCCGAAGAGCCAAAGGGAGGCGTCGATGCCGACATGGCGTAAGACCTTCAGTCGCTTGAAGGCAAATGCTGCCCATCAGTGTTATCATCGAAGATGCCCAGTAACCTTGGAATAAGAAGGGCTCCCTTTTTGGTATTAGGTAACTTTATAAACTTTATAAGAACTATAGGACTACGAAAAGGGAATAAGGGTACTACTGGACATCCTAGTCATACACCCTTACCTGCGCAGGCTTTGGAGTTTAGCCCAGCCATAACCCGACTGACGCTTCACACAGACAGCCCAATGACCCTTAATCTAGGAATATACCTCAAGGCTCAGTATCCCAGAGGGTGCATATAAACTACCACCATGGGATAAGCCCCAAAAAACCATCCTAGTAATGGTTTCGGGGAAACTAGTTCCATAATGGTAGTATATACGGGCCCTAAACCCTAAACCCTATATATGGACTTCAAGGGATGCTCCTCAAGAACAATTAAGGGGTACTGGGCTCTCCAGGTACCACTCCGAACACCCCTAGCCCTAAACCCTAAAACCCCAAACCCTTAACCCAAAACCCAAATGACAAGCTCGGCTCGGCAGCTACACTGCTCCGAACCCTGACAACTGGGCTTGGGACCCAAAACACATACTTTTCTAGGGGTTGGGGTACTTGAAAATGTTCTTATGAGGGTAAGGCGATTGTATTGGGGTTTAGAAAGGCTTTCTGTCCTGGATAGATAGATTTGGGCTTCGAGGTATATCATACTACAACTATGTTGGTCCGAAAGTTATAAGGGAATACTACGATTTCTGATGAATCTGACCCCTAATTGTAAACCCCAACACCCTGCCGTGTTTCAATAACGAGGATATCGCTTCTCCGCTATTCAGGACTGATTCTTTGAAGCTTCCACTTGAAGTTTCTTGGACAGCAACCGTTAACTACGGGGGAACAGTGTAATGGTTCGGCGCTTTGGGCTTTAATTAGGGACTGCGTCTCTAGGGTCTAGGGTTAGTGGTTAGTGAATCATTAAGATGTTGAGGGTTGGCCGTCGCCCTTGAGGAATGGGGCGAGCATACAAAACGCGGATGATGATGAGGAGGACAACGATTATGGTGGTGAAGGCGATGATTATGACACCAGCGATGGCAGCTTTGATGACGGTGCTAGAGGTCGTGATGGTTGGGCTCTGCTGTTGCTCTCTGGGCTTCTAGTCATGGGGCTCATGGGACTGCTGTTACTAATACTAAGACTATGGGGCGTCGACAGGTCAGGCGCCAGGGATAAGCTCAAAGCCTAGTACCGGGCCATTGATAGTTAGAAAAATGTAGGTCAGTGTAGGTGCTGGTCCTTTGTAGTATTTGTGGACTTACAAACGGGACCCTAACTTAGAGAACTACCCAACATAGTACTACAAGTATAGAGGGACGATAAGGGAATGCGAGTTCTTCGGGAATCTACTTCTTATTACGTTGACCTCGAGTGGTGCAACCCTCCTTTCAAGCCCCAGGGATCTACTCAGAGGATCATGGGGGGTTAGGTTTAGCGTCTAGGCCTACAATTAAGATAAGTCTGCTTATAAATACTTATAGCCCCACTTCAGGTGTTTCTTATAACCGTACTAGCTAAGTCCCGTGATCCTCCAAGAAGTAAGTAGGCGGGAACGAAAGTTCGTGAACACGAGCCATCGTTTGGGGCTTGGGGTTTAGGCCTGAAACCTGAACTAAACCCTAAACCCTTGGTGCCTAAGACGAGCGCTGGGGCTTAGGGTCTGGCGTCACGTAGGGGCCTTGATAATTAGAATATGGTTTCGAGGTTCTCACAAAGGGTTCTACAAGGGTCTCTAGAAGGGTTTAACAGGGGGACCGTCACGATTTGAATATAGTGCTGAGGCACATTATACTATAGCTATAACAAGGCACCCTTAACCCTAGGCCCTAGACCCTCAACCCCTAAACTAAACCTCTAAACCCTACTTGGAGGATCATGGGACTTAGTAAGTATGCTTGTAAGTACCCTAAGTGGGGATATAAGTAGTTTTAAGTATAGTTACCTTAATTCTAACTCTAGTTACTAAGTCAAATGATCCTCTAAGCAGTCCCTAAACCCTAAACCCTAAAGATCCCATTATAAGGAACCCTATAGATCCCCTTATAAGGAACCCTATAGATCCCTTTTAAGGATCCTCTAAACCCTACAGCTATAACAAGCAACCCTACGGGCTGGGCCAGGCAATTAGTCGGCCCCTAAAGCACAGTCTAAGCAAGGTTATAAGTACCCTAAGTGGAGTTATAAGTATAGTTACCTGAATTCGCCTCGGCCCCGGCCGAAGCGGTCAGAGGTTCCTATTCGGATTTCCTCTATTCCCCACCTCTCAATCCCCTCCCCAGTGACCCCACCCCGAAAATCCTGGCCACCGCCCCCCCCCCTAAAAAATGGAAACGTGTCAATGAGCCCCAAACTCCTGCCTCCCCCTCCCCTCCCCCCCCCTCCCCCTCCTCCCCCCTTCCCTCCCGCCCTCCTCCGCTCGCTGACAGGTGCGAGTTTTGTGGAGTTTTCGACGACACGGGACTGCAATGTAGCATCTTTATGTGTTGGGGCTCGCCTTTAAGGCTGCAGTACCAAGCGAGTTTCAAACCTGAAATTCTAACCCTACTGCAGATAGTAGCCACTCGCCGCATGCGCGTACAGCCGGGCCGAGGCGGACGACGCGCAGCGTTTCAAATTATAACCCTAGTTACTAAGTCCCATGATCCTTTAAGTAAAGCACAGTCTGCGGAGCATGCTTCGGCAATTTAAGGCCTAGGATTTGGATTTAGGGGCTGCGGTTGATGACGTAATGCTGCATTACCCATAATAAGGAATATACCGTAATTCCTATAGTTTAGGGTCTTTTAAGGTAATGCAGGATTTATATGATCAACCGCATGGTTTAGCGTGTAGGCTTTAAGGTTGAAGGATTCAGAATCCAGAGTCTAAGGTTTACGAGTCAAGAGGTTGAGGCTTTGGGGTTGCAGGGTTCGGGGCCTTAGGGGTTTTAGAGTTCAGGATCCTACTTGGAGGATCATGGGACTTAGTAAGTAAGGTTATAGGTACCCGAAGTGGGGTTATAAGTAAGTGGGGTTATAAGTAATTACAAGTGTAGTTACCTTAGTTATAGCCCGTCTGCGGAGCATGCTTCGGCAATTTAAGGCCTAGGATTTGGATTTAGGGGCTGCGGTTGATGACGTAATGCTGCATTACCCATAATAAGGAATATACCGTAATTCCTATAGTTTAGGGTCTTTTAAGGTAATGCAGGATTTATATCATCAACCGCATGGTTTAGCGTGTAGGCTTTAAGGTTGAAGGATTCAGAATCCAGAGTCTAAGGTTTAGGAGTCAAGAGGTTGAGGCTTTGGGGTTGCAGGGTTCGGGGCCTTAGGGGTTTTAGAGTTCAGGATCCTACTTGGAGGATCATGGGACTTAGTAAGTAAGGTTATAGGTACCCGAAGTGGGGTTATAAGTAAGTGGGGTTATAAGTAATTACAAGTGTAGTTACCTTAGTTATAGCCCTAGTTACTAAGTCCCATGATCCTCTCAGTAGGGTTTAAGGCTCAGTTTCTTGAGCTTTTTCTGCACAAAGGCCTAGAAGTCCATGGTCCAGGATATGGGAGTTTCCGAAAATTAGGGGAACCTCATTTTGGTGCCTTCATAGTAAGGATCCTACTATTTAGGATGCTATATTAGGGTCCCCTATTTTCGGATACTCCCATATGGTCCAGCATGAAGGTTTGGACGCCACTGAGAAGGGAGGCTCATAGGTATTTATAGGTCGGGTGGTTGTCAAGATCATGGTCCCTGTTTGGGTCCCTATTATAGTACGGCACCTAATATTTAGGGTACCCAAAAAGGGACCATAATTTAGACAACTACCCAGGCGGAGGGATAAGTCGTAAGTCTCTGAATGTGGATTGTAACCTTGGTTCCCCACTTGTGAACCGACTTATAACTGCCATTGAACCTCCAAGCACAGCATGCGCAGGTATGTTTGGGGTGTGTGCTTCTCTGCCTCTTGCTTCCGAATGCAGAGAGCGAGACCTAAACCCCTAAACCCTGCACTTCTAAACCCTAAACCCCTAAACCCCTAAACCTCTCACCCCTAAACCCCAAACCCGGAAACCAGAAAAACCAAAAAATGCCAAACCTGGGGACGAGACTGCTAAAGACGAAGAGTCCAAGAAGACAGGACTTAGGTTTTGCTTGTGAGCGCCTTGAGGTTAAGGGGTTTAAGGAACTAAAAGGGCTCCTTTAACGGGAACTCTAGGGTTCCTTATAAGGATCTATAGGGTTTAGGGTTTAGGTTGAGGGTTTAGGGGTTTAAGGGTTCAGGGGTTTAGGGTCAGGGTTTAGGGCTGAGGGTTTAGACGTGTAGGGTTTAGGGTTTAGGGGTTCCGCAGAATTAAGGTAGAACTTTCGCAAGTTTTCGTCTGCTTGCATTGACTCCTGGGTCCAGCGCACGGCGGTCCTTACGAAGTGCACTGAATCCAAGGGTAAAAGGAAGGACCCTTAATAAGGACCCCTAGGTCTAATACCCTTAATATAGCTATTATATACCCATTCTATAGCCCATTATAGGGTAGGGGTCCCCATTAAGGGTCCCTCTTTTTCCCCTTTGACTGAAGTATCACGGGCAAAAAAACCCTCGCCTCAACCCTTCTCCGAACATGTCTGTTCACAGACATGCTCGAGAGAAAGTGGAAAATCAAACGCCGCACGGTTCGTGATCCATGTGATTTTGGTGGTGTGGGTTTACAAAAGTTGTAAAGGATGGCGACATCTGCAGCGCGATCTCGCCAGCATGGCACGCCTCACATGCAAATGGCCACCCCGAATCGCATCTCCTTAGTGAATCATCTGCGAAATCTCGTATTCTTTCAGGGCCACTTTCGGAAGGGCCCGTCGGATGCGTTGGGAGGCTGGGCGCCCACCCCGTCCGGACGACAGCCAGCTTGCACTGCCCTCCAAAAGCAAGACCTCTTCGGGCAATGCGCCCGGCATACTAACCTGCAGCACACATCTCCATCTCCCTGTGCCGTGAAGTGTATCCTCCTTGACAGCCAGTCGCCCCACGTCCTCATCCCATGCAAGTCTGCGAATCTCGTAGGTGAACTGGCCATCTGGAAGCAACGACAATCTTTCTGTCCTTTCCTCGTCCACATCCCAATTTAACTCGGCCGTGCGGCGTCTCGAAAAACACTTCTGCACATACCAGTCAGGATGTTCCTGCAACACGACATGTATTGTACAACCAACAATCTCTGCGGCACGGGTACTCTGGTCCAGGGGTTCCTTCTCCGAGTCTGCCTGCTTGAAAAACTGCAACAGTGGACTCTCGTCGTCCCTACCCAAGTCCAGAACCCCGGCAATGCGCACCTGCATGTCTTGCAGCCTCTCGCTCTCGGTGCAGGAGATGACTGCAGCTCGCCCGCTCATCAGGCACACATCGAAGCACACCAAGGCACCAGAAAAAGGGTAGCTCATGGCCGAAGAGCCAAAGGAAGGCGTCGATGCCGACATGGGGTTCCTACAGTCCCTTGAAGGGAAAAGCTTGCCGGCCGATGCTGCCCTGACAATCCCAAACTTAGAATTATGATATCCCCTATCCTATGCCCTGAACTCCGTGTGAATGCATAAATGCATGGATGGATGCATGGAGGGAGGGAGGGACGTAGGTAGGTAGGTAGGTAGGTAGGAGCATGTGTGTGAGAGAGCATGTATACCTGCGTAGGTATATTATCTATACTCGTCTTCGCTGCCTGGAAGACCAGCCGTCCTATGATGAGCAATTAAGTTAAAGGTGGTACTGGCCATTACGACTAGGTTCCTGAGTGATCCCTAAATAAAAGGGGTACCCTTTTTTCCTAGTATGAAACCCTAAACCCTAAACCCTAAACCCTAAACCCCTAAACCCTAAACCCTAAACCCCTAAACCCTGTTTCAACAAGGAGACCCCAAGTTAAAAAGGGCAACAGGGTACTACTCAGGAACCTAGATGATAAACTGGGATGCCCAGTAACCTGGGAATAAAAAGGCCTCTCTTTTTGGTATTGGGTAACTTTATAAGGAACCTAGGACTACAAAAAGGGAATAAGGGTACTACTGGGCATCCTAGTAAACGATCTTAGATTAATGCGAATGACGGTGGTAGGGGTTAGAAGTGCTGACGATGTACACTACCCTAAACCCTAAGCTCTAAACCCTACCACTACCACTGAGATCTTTGGAGCATGAACTGAGTTTTCAGGCTTCTGGAGTGCTGAAATCTGGAATCAGGGGCTTAGGGGCTTAGGGGTTTAGGGGTTTAGGGTTTAGGATTGAATCTAAATCTAGAGGCTTTGTCTGCAGAAATATGGGAGTTTCCGAAAATAGGGGACCCTAATATAGTACCCTAAATAGTAGGATCCTTATTATAAGGACCCCTAAACAAGGTACCCCTATTTTCGGAAACTCCCATATCACGACTTGGTTTTGTCCGTCCGCATTGACTCCTGGGTCCAGTGCACACCAATGCTGAATGGCGCACTGACCAGCACCTGCCAAAAAAAACCTCGCCTCAACCCATACTGCGAACATGTCTGTTCACAGACATGCTCGAGAAAGTGGAAAATCGAACTCCGAACGGTTCGTGATCCGTGTGATTTTGGTGGTGTGGGTTTTACAAAAGTTGTAGAGGGATGGCGACATCTGCAGCGCAATCCTGCCAGCGTGGCACGCCTCACCTGCAAATGGCCACCCCGAATCGCATCTCCTTAGTGAAACAGCTGCGAAATCTCATATCCCGACAGGGCCACTTTTGGAAGGGCCTGTCGGATGCGTCGGGAGGCTGGGCGCCCACCCCGTCCGGACGACAGCCAGCTTGCACTGCCCTCCAAAAGCAAGACCTCTTCGGGCAATGCGCCCGGCATACCAACCTGCAGCACACATCTCCATCTCCCTGTGCCGTGAAGTGTATCCTCCTTGACAGCCAGTCGCCCCACGTCCTCATCCCATGCAAGTCTGCGCATCTCGTAGGTGAACTGGCCATCTGGAAGCAACGACAATCTTTCTGTCCTTTCCTCGTCCACATCCCAATTTAACTCGGCCGTGCGGCGTCTCGAAAAACACTTCTGCACATACCAGTCAGGATGTTCCTGCAACACGACATGTATTGTACAACCAACAATCTCTGCGGCACGGGTACTCTGGTCCAGGGGTTCCTTCTCCGAGTCTGCCTGCTTGAAAAACTGCAACAGTGGACTCTCGTCGTCCCTACTCAGGTCCAGAACCCCGGCAATGCGCACCTGCATGTCTTGCAGCCTCTCGCTCTCGGTGCAGGAGATGACTGCAGCTCGCCCGCTCACCAAGCACACATCGAAGCACACCAAGGCACCAGAAAAAGGGTAGCTCATGGCCGAAGAGCCAAAGGAAGGCGTCGATGCCGACATGGGGTGTCTACTGTCGCTTGAAGGGAAACGCTTGCCGGCCGGCATTGAAAGGATGCGAACCCCGAACCAAGCGAGCCCACATAAGCCAAGCCAAGCCGTTTACAATCAGGACTGTAGAAACCCTTGTATGGCAGACGTCCGTGTCCAACAACACACCTGTCATACAGAAACCCACTCTCATTTAAAGGGTGCTGCTATAGTAAATTAACCATGGGGCTCTATAGAAGGATTCCTTTAGAAGGTAATATACTATACTAGGATTCCTTAAAGGGTAACATACTACATATACTAGGATATCTTCAAAAAGGGTACTATAGTCTTACCCATACACTTGGCTAAACCCTAAACCCGTATAAACCCAAAAGCCCTACTGGCTGTGTTGTCTCCGGCCAGGAGCAGCGCAGGGGCACTCAAGTTACTTAAGGATGCCACCCCCGACGTCTGTAGACGAAACAAGTACTGTTAGGGTTCCTCTGAAAGGGGTCTATAAGGGTTACTATAAGGGATCTACAAGGGTGCTATAATGTAGAGGCCTTAATAATTAGAATAGGGATTAGGGGTACATTTTGCGATAGTTCTAGTACGGAACCCCCATAACAGTATTGATAATTGTTAAAGCTCTAACCTCCTGTGTTAATAACACATGCACCCTCCGCCGCCCTGCAAACATGTCGCCATGCAGAGACCGACCGACCGACCGCTGATGACCAAAGGGTGTGCGTTCACTGATGATAGTGCAGCTACAGCTACCCACGAAATACCGTCAGCAGAAAAGTAGCTGTCGGAGGGGCGAAGAGTCCATACTCTCGGCTAGGTTTAGGGTTTAGGATTTAGGGTTTAGGGTTGTATGAACATCGGCAGCAGTCTGAGAGGTAGCAAAGGCTCTGTCCTGTGTCATCGGAGGAGGGCACTCTGGCGCAGCTGAGACCCCGAAAGACGTTTAAGGCTTAGGTTTGGTATTAAGCTTCATCTGAACCAGTGTGCCAGCTTGAAATGCAAATTCCGATGAGTTCAGCCTAAACCTGCCTTGAAGGCGCCCTAAACAACCCTAAACCCTAAATCCTAAACCAGCCTGTAGAGGAAGCCTTCTAGGAACCCTTGTGGAAACCCTTGCGCGGAACCCAGAGACGCCTGAGCTGCCGCTCTCAAGTACACTACATCATACTCTAACATACTGTAAAATACTAGACAGATATGATATAATGTACTAAAGCCATATACATACTATACTACATTACTAGACAGATATGATATACCCTGATTATATACTATAGCCATATACTATATTATGCTGCCAAATACTATGGCAATATGCTAAAGCGTAACTATATTACCACTACTATATACTACTATATAGACCCTCAATCCTACGACCTACGACCGTGAGACTCTGCAGCACTGTGAGCCGGCGGCATCAGTGCAAGGACAGACGGGTTTGAACCCGAAGCCTTAAACCCTAAAAGCCTGAATCCTAAAACCGAAACCCTAAACCTACACCCTAAAACTCTAAAACCCTAGACCCTATAGCACCAAACCCGCAATCCCTAAACCCCAAGTTCAGGCTTGACGGATCAGGATCCTGGGTTCACTTGACGGCTTTTGGACCTTTTTGCGGGCAGGTTATAGGGTTTAGAGTGTAAGGGTTTGGTGCTATAAGGCTTAGGGGTTTAGGATTTTGGGTGTAAGGTTTAGAGTTGTAGGGCTTTTCGGATTGCGGGTTCAAGGTTAGGGGTTTTGGGTTTAGAGTTGAGGGTTTGGGCCTTTTACCACATCACCGATGACTGACGAAGGAACCCTTGCAGGAACAAGGAAGCCGTATAAGAACCCTAAAGGGAAATCTCAGAGGCGTTTAGTAGTCTTTGGATGTTCGTCATCCGAAGTACACGTTCAAAAGAGTCCTCACTATCCTTATTCTCTTACTCGGTATGGGGATCCTAAAACAGTCACACCCACAAACATACCTTAAACCCTGAACCCTGCTGCAGAACTCTCATCAAGCCGTCTAAACCCGGAAAGCCCTGGACCCTACTTAGACGACCATTGGACTTAGTAACTCGTGTTATAATTAAAGTAACTATATCTGTCATTACTTATAACCCCACTTCTGGTACTAATAACCCGACCTTGCTAAGTCTCATGATCCTCCAAGTAAATCCAAAACACCAAAACCCTAAAACATGAAACCCTGCAACCTTTTTTACAAGCTCCAAGGCTTTTCGGAGCCCGCTGACTCAGCACCTTGGTGACTGAAAAGAGTCAGGCACGTAGGGTTTAGGGTTTAGGGGGTTTAGGGTTTAGGGTTCAGGGGTTAAGAGGGCTTAGGGGAAGCATCGTCGCCCCCAGGAGTTTCTCAGAGGGTAGCGCAAACCCTATAGAACCGATATGCACCCTTGCGGAACTCTGACCAACACCCTCACAGAACCCGTCTAGCCCTGAATCCTGAGGACCCCGAAAAGGGACGAGCTGTCTGAGAACACTTTGACAGAATATTATGGTCTAGATTCTTGGGCTTAGGGTTTCGGGCGTACTTTATCCCGGACAGACCCTACATCGCCCTACATAACTACTTGGAGGATCATGGGACTTAGTAAGTATGGTTATAAGTACCCTGGGTGCGGTTATATGTAAATGTAAGTATAGTTGCCTTAATTATAGCCCTAGTTACTAAGTCCCATGATCTTTTAAGTATGCAATAGTACATCCCAACACCCTAGCCTAATCAGTGAGTCCCCCTACTCGTATGGAACCCTTCTGCCGCAAACCCCTGAAAGAATTATCATTACTATAAATACTACTCTTGTTCGTATTAGTCTTAGTTGGTATACTATAAATACTACTCTTGTTCGTATTATTCTTAGTTGGTACTGTCATTACTATCATGGTTGGCATGAAACCTGAGAGTAGTTTATTATGAATAGTATTATTGGTATCCATATGGGAGTTTCGAAAATGGGGGACCCTAATATAGCACCCTAAACAGCCAGGATCCTTATTATAAGGACCCCAAACTAAGGTACCCCTCATTTTTGGAAACTCCCAATTCCTAAACCCTAAACCCTAAAACCCTAAACCCCTAAACCCTAAACCCCTTATGGATCCCTTTAAAGGAACACCTAAACCCTACTATGGAGTCCCTTTAAAGGAACCCCTAAACCCTATGGACCACATATTATCGCCAGCTGGGGTCTCTCACACAGAGCCCGCCGCGAAGCCGGACGCCCAGGCCCATTGGAAGTTGTATCCTAGGCTTGGGGTTTAGGGCTCCTTCAAAGGAACTATAGGGGTTCCTACAAGGGATCTATATATTGGTACTGTTTTTGAGGTTTAGGGGTTTAGGGTTTAGGATTTTATTAAGGCTTAGGGTTACAGGTCGTTGTTTTTCGGTTCGGGTGTTGGGGTTGAGGGTTCTAGAAAGATTGTGATTAAAGGCTGTATAAGGGCATTGCATTTGACAACGGTTTTGTTGGGTTGTATACGGGCTTCTTGAAAGGGTGTAGGCTTTACCCAGACAAGTTGGATTTAGAGTTCATGAACTGGGGTTTACGGCTTCGTCAGCCTCAACCCTAAACCCTAAACCCTAAACCCTAAACCCTAAACCGTGTACGACGTGAAGTTTGAGGGTTCAGGGGATTTTCCCTGCTTGCTTCTACAGTTCGGGATCTAGGATTGGCATCGGTGGCGAATTTCGGTTTAGGGTTAGGGTTTAGGGTTTAGGGTTTAGGGTTTAGGGTTTAGGGTTTAGGGTTTTGGATTTCAATACGAGCTAGGATGCCCAGTAACCTAGGATTTAAGAGGGCTCCCTGTTTGGAACTGGGTAACTTCACAAACAACCTGGGACTACAAAAAGGGAGTAAGGGTTGGAGCAGGTTCGCAACGTTCCCCAGGCATGGCAAGAATGACTAGGATACCAAGTAACCTAAGAATAAAAAGGCCTCTCTTTTTGGTATTGGGTAACTTTATAAGGAACCTAGGACTATAAAAAGGGAATAAGGGTACTACTGGGCATCCTAGATGAGGTGCCAAAGCCACTAATCCCCAGCCAGGACAGCAGAAGGCAAACTCAATGACACGCCGTAACCTCAATCCTGAATAAGACGAGGCCTGAAACCCCGAACTGTTTCTGAAATCCCTGTCAAGCAGCCAACTCTCAGGCAAAACCCCGGACCCCCCTGCGAGAAGCTGGAAAAAAGTCTTGACTGTGGGGACCAGGGTCAACGGAACCTTCATTAAACCCTAAAGCCTAAACCCTAAATCGTGTGGCCTCTTGGAACCAGAACCATCCAGCAACCCTAATGTAGCGGCGTTAATTAATAATCAAAATAAGGCTTGGGGATATATTATACCATAACTGTAATAAGGAACCCCCAGAACCCTATTCTAATTATTAAGGCCCCTACATTAGAACGGCACCAAAACCCAGATCCAAACCCAAACCAAAAGCCCGACAGTCCAAAACCAGAGACTTTCGCGTGGGACAGACCAAAAACTGTCATACAACCCTTTGCACAATGCTGACGAAAGCCTTGATGCGAGCGTTGTCGTCAACCCCTGCATAGAACCATAAAGACCTTTAGCAAACCTTTCAATGCCCTTGCAAACCGTGAAAAACGTTTCTAGTACCCTTGTAACACCTGCATGTGGAGAAACGCGCATAAACCCCCTGTAAAACCCCGACCGAACCCTCTAAACAATCCAAAAGAAGCCTAAATCCCAGACCCTACACCTTAAACCCTAAACCCAAACCCCCAAAATATCTGTGGTCGCGGCCCCCGAGCCAGCCGGTGACGTCGACTGCCTCCGACATCCATGTGGTCAGGAAATCGTTATGGGGGGAATGGGTTATAGGGACTGCCCTAAACCCTTTAAACCCCTAAACCCCTAAACCCTCAAACCCCTAAACCCTTAAACCCTTAAACCCCTAAACCACTAGACCCCTATCCTGCAAAAAACCCTAAACCCCTAAACCCCTAAACCCTTAAACCCCTAAACCTTTAAACCACTAAACCCCTAAAACCCCAAACCGTGCGCCCTAAACCCTAAAACCCGATGGTTCGGCCTGGAGAGCGCTCGGGTGAAAGATAAACTTACTTGGAGGATCATATGGTTCCTTAAAGGGGTCCTTATAAGGATCTAGAGGGTTCCTTAAAAGGGATCTATAGGGTTTAGGGTCTGCTTGGAGGATTATGGGACTTAATAAGTATGGTTATAAGTAGGGTTATAAGTAGTTATAAGTATAGATACCATAATTTTAACCCTAGTTACTAAGTCCCATGATCCTCTAAGTAGTGTTTGGGTTTAGGGTTCCCTTAGAGGGATCTACAGGGTTCCTTCAATGCGCCCCAAGGGTTCCCAGGGTTTAAGGGTTTGGGCTTAAGGTTTAGGGGTCTCGGGGTTAAGGGGTTTCGGGGATAAGGTGTAGGTTTTAGGTTTCGGTGCGTCGTTTCTGAACGTCTCCTTCCGACTGCAGGTGCCGACAGAACCCCTTTTTGGGGAGGCGGTCCATGGGTTCTGGGCTTAAGGCTTCTATTAAAGGGTTTAGGGTGTCTTTTTCAGGGTTTAGGTTTTAGGGGCTTAGTTGAAAGGGTTTTGCGTTTAGGCTTTATGGTTGAGGGTTTAGGGGTCCAGGTTCAGGGTGTGGGCATTAGTATTCAGGGATTGGGGATTAATATGGATGAAGGAATGTGGGGATGTAAATGAATAAAGTATGGTTTTGCGGTACGTTGCACTAATAATATATCACGAAACCCTGAGGAACAGTATTCCCAAGTATTCAAGCCTCCTTTCTTAGGTGTTCAACAAGAAGAACAGACACACACACACACACACAGTTTTAGGGTTTGGGGTCTGGGGTTTTACGGTTTAGGGTTCCGTGCTTAGGATTGATAGATAAGTAGATTAGCAGACAGGGTTCCTTCTAGAGTTCGCAGAGAGTTCGTGATTCCCTCAACAGGCTACGGAGCACAAACACTAAACACTCAAGCCTAAACCCCATCAGAACTGCCTCACCAATAAAGTAGAGGCCCGGGTGCTTCTTGCACTCCATGGTCTCGTCCTTGGCAGCGCTTTTGAGGATGGCAGAATGGTCCGAATCCTGTCTAGAGTCCAGCTCGTACTCTCGGAATCGGCAAACTTGTTCCTATACCTTAGATCCTGAACCCTACACCCCTGAAACCCCTATACATCCCGAAAAAATACCCTTATAGATTCCTTATAGTAACCCTTATAAACCCTTTAAAGGAACCCTAAACCCTGGGCAATATGGTAAGCCCCAGAGCTTTTTTTCCTGAACCTATCCGGCAAGGCTTCTCCGGAAGAAGCCTCACCCTACCCCCACCCCAAGCCCAAGCAGTCGTACTTCGGCTGCCCCTCAGGCGGGATACGGCGCTCGCAGGGGAGCAGGCCGATCCTAACCGGCAAGTCCACTTACTTCTGAAGGAAGGTCTTCAGCTCCGGCTTGGGGTCCCCGAGCTGGGACTGGTAGCTCCTTTCGGGCAAAATGGATCCGGCTCCCACTGCGAGCCCTAAACCCCTAAACCCCTAAACCCTAAACCTCCCGGGCTGATGGCCCATCCATTGGCCAAACCCTAAACCCTAAACCCCTAAACCCTTAACCCTAAACCCTAAACCCCTAAACCCTTAACCCTAAACCCTTAATTAACCCTAAACCCTTAACCCTAAACCCTAAACCCCTAAACCCTTAACCCTAAACCCTTAATTAACCCTAAACCCTTAACCCTAAACCCTAAACCCCTAAACCCTTAACCCTGAACCCTTAACCCTAAACCCTTAATTAACCCTAAACCCTTAACCCTAAACCCTAAACCCCTAAACCCTTAACCCTAAACCCTAAACCCCTAAACCCTTAACCCTAAACCCTTAATTAACCCTAAACCCTTAACCCTAAACCCTAAACCCCTAAACCCTTAACCCTGAACCCTTAACCCTAAACCCTTAATTAACCCTAAACCCTTAACCCTAAACCCTAAACCCCTAAACCCTTAACCCTAAACCCTTAATTAACCCTAAACCCTTAACCCTAAACCCTAAACCCCTAAACCCTTAACCCTGAACCCTTAACCCTAAACCCTTAATTAACCCTAAACCCTTAACCCTAAACCCTAAACCCTGGACAGGTGCTGTCAGACAAGAGGAGAAAAGAAGCCGTATGGTCCTGAATAGTCTAGGTACTTAAAGGCTCATGGGACTTAGTAAGTATGGTTCCTTTAAGGGGTCCTTATAGGGATCTAGAGGGTTCTTTAAAAGGGATCTATAGGGTTTAGGGTTTAGGGAGTACTTAAAGGCTCATGGGACTTAGTAAGTAAGGTTATAAATGGGTTGAAATTAGGATAACCCCACTTAGGGGACTTATAACCCCAATTATAACCTACTTACTAAGTCCCATGATCCTGTAGGTAGGGGCTTCGAAAATCAGTGCGAAAATTGGGGCTGTAGTATGACTCGAGGCCTTATGGTCCTTCATAGTGGGTATGTGTGGTATTAAAGAGGGTAGTTGGGGGGTCTAGGTAGGGGCTTCGAAAATTAGTGCGAGCATTGGGGAATAATGACTCTATAGGGACTGCAGTGGTGCTTTTTGCTCAGTATTCCGCACTATAGTACAGCAGTAGAGTCGGGGGTTCAATCAGGAATTTACCTTAAACCCAACAATCAATGCCAGTTACCCTAAACCCTAAACCCTCAACCCCAAACCTTAAATCCCAAAACCTAAGCCTCTAAACTGCGAGCCCCGGAGCCTCTATCCGCCTTTGCCAATCGACCCTACTTAGAGGGACTTAGTAGCTAGGGTTATAATTAAGGTAACTATACTTGTATTTACTTGAAACCCCGCCTAGGGTACCTATAACCTTACTTACTAAGTCCCATACCCCCTTCATAGAACCCTTATAGATCCTTTTCGGGATCCCTTTAAGGAGCCCTAAAAGGACGCCTTTAAGGAACCCCCTTTAAGGAACCCTTTAATACTAACTCCCACGATCCTCTAAGTAGCGCAACTCGGAAACCCGGAGAAGCCCAAAAGCTCGCAACTTTAGAGCTGAACCCCTACGAATCCTAGGGTCCCTTTAAGGGGGGTTCCTTTCAAGGGTTCCTTTAAAGGGGGTCCTTTAAAGGGGTCTGTAAGGGATCTATAGCAGGGTTCCATATATGGGGGCCTTAACAATTAGAGTAGGGTTTTGCGGCCCATTCTGCTATAATTATGATAAGCAATTAATGATTAAGAATGATTAAGGCCCCTATATTAGGTAACCGAACACTAAACTTTATTAGACCCTAAATAATCCCTAAGCCGAACCTTTCTACATCGCCAGACTCGCATAAGCCCACAGACCCTCAAGCTTTGACAAACCCTAAAACCTAAACCCCAGAACCCTAAACTCTAAACCCCTAAAACGCTAAACCGTGGAGCCCTAAACTCTAAAGCCCCTAAAGAACTACCCTTTGGCCGGCCGACCGAGAGCTCGTCCGTGGAGACGCCTCCACAGGTCACCTCTGCCTACGCGCGGATTGATTTGAGGGTTTAATTCAGAGTTAGGGGTTTAGGGTTTAGAATTAGGGGTTAAGGGTTTAGAGTTCAGGGCTTAGGGTTTAGAGGCTTCCGGTAAAGAGGAATAATAGCTGTTGGGTCGTTATGTCGATAGTGACCGTGGAAGACCTGATTAGGGACGTAGGAAATGGGATATAACAAGGTTGAAGCTGCCGTGACCTTACTTTTTATGTGTGCTCTAAGCATCAGGGTTTAGGCTTAGCTTTCGGAAACAAAACCCGGAACCCTAAGCCCTCACCTGCAATTGCTTTACCTGCTTATGACAAATTTCAAAGATGTCTGCCTTGGTGATGCGGCGGTTGACAATAATTTAACAATGCGGATCCGACAAGGGTTGTTTGAAGAACTCGTGGGTTCAACAAGGGTTCTTTACACGGCTATACAACGGTTCTATAACGATTCTTGACCGAGCTCTGCACAAGCGGTTCTAGAAAGGGCTTCTGGGCTCGGGGTTGCGAGATGGAGGGTTTTGGCACACTGAGCAGAACACGACCACAGGGCTTTACGCGAAAGGCAACACTACATGTCGTTTACGCAACCGACCACCGGTCTCGGTGTAGGGTTTAGAGTCCAAGGACATCCCAAACACACTGTAACCCTTAAATCGAGGGGCAAGCCAGGTTGTGGGAAACTCGGCTCTCACATTATCGCTTCAAGCCACAATTCTGCACCCTACCTTAACCCCAAATAACCTACCCGTTTAAGGACTTCTATAAGGAAATCATGAAAAAGGAACCCTTAACCCCAAATACCCTACCTTTTTAAGGACTTCTATAAGGAAATCATAATAAGGAACAACAAAAAATGTAGGTTCTTCAGGGTCCGGGCAGGCAAACCGCCCAACCCCAGGTCCTCCATCCCCGCCCCAGGTCCTCTGCCCCACAACCCCCCAACTCCAGAGCCCGAAACGATCCGAAACCCCAAAAACCTAAACGCCAGCGTGGAACCAAAAGCAACGCCCAATTCCTCCCCAGATCCTAAACCCTAAAACCCTAAACCCCAGACACTAAACCCTAAACCCTAAACCCTCATGGCAACCATGTTCATCACGAAATTTTCACAAAGAACCCCATCTTTACCCTGCCATCACATCTACTTACTGGGTGCCTTGAGCCCTGAAGTTATGCTCACCTCAACTGCAGGCGCACGGTCTGGGACGTGGCTTTGGGAGTTTGGGCCGGGTTTGGTGCGTGCACCTTGTACCCCAACGCCAATGGCTAAACTGAACCTAAACCCGAAATCCTGTTTGCACACACCTAAAGTGGTAAACCCAAGAAAACCCTAAACCCCAAGAAACCTAAACCCGAAACCCGAAACCCTAACCCTGAGCCCAAACAAATCCTAAACCCTGAACCCTAGACCCTGAACCACGCATCCCAGGCCTTCAGGTAGCCTTCAGTTCCCGCGACTGGCACCTGTCAGTTCCAAGAGAACGGCTTAAGGGTTCAGGGTTTAGTGTTTAGGGACTTCAGAGGCCGCAAAAGTTAAAAAAATGCTGTTCAAAGAGCTGGTGTAAGCCTGAAGATTTAGGATCTATCAACCCCACACCTGACCGTAAACCCTAAACCCTAAACCCCCCAACCTTAAACCTTAAACCCTATAACCACAACTACGAAGAATCTGTCGGCTCGGGAGAAGCAGCCTTCACGCAGGACCGAAGCTCCAGACTTCCGTCGAGCTGTTCCCCCCAGGGTTTAGGGTTTAGGGTTTAGGGTTTAGGGTTTAGGGGTTAGGGGTTAGGGTTTAGGGTTTAGGGTTTAGGGGTTAGGGGTTAGGGTTTAGGGTTTAGGGCCTAAACCCTAAACCCTAAACCCTAAGCCACACCGTGACACGATAGGTGAGGCTTTGGGCTATAGGGTTCCTTCAAAGGGGTCTATAGGGGTTGCTATAAGACAAAGATCTATAAGGGTATTGCAATATAGGGGTCTTAATAGTTCGAGCAGGGCGTTGGGGTACATTTTACTATAAAGATATGAAGGAACCCCCCACAATAGTATAGGTACTTATTTGGGCCCCTATAGCCGGTGCACATGTGCGTCCATCGCCGTGCATGGGTTTTGAAGACACAGTCTACCCAGACCTTCCAAAATCCCTTAATTAAGGAATATCCCTTAAATTATAGTAGGATCCTTAATATAATGTAAGGTATATTCCTTAATTAAGGGATTTTGGAAGGTCTGGGTACATCGCATCAGACTTCTTCTGGCTTTGTCAACTCAACAACAGACGTCACGCCCTAAATGCTCTGAACCGCCACCATCAATTCTCTTCCAAGGAATTGAGGAGAAAGATCCGCATCGGTCGACGTCTTGCCAAAATCACTGCAAACTGCCACAACCTTGCTGCAAGCGTGTCAGGCCGGTACTGCCTGGGTCCTGACTACGTGTACCGATACCCCCCACGTTGTATAGGCGCCTCAAGAATTAGAATAGGCTTTCATAAGGTTCTGGGAATTAGGGGACTGCGTCATACGATCATGATACAGGGACTACAACCGGATATTGCTAAAAAAACAGTTCTCCGACCCGAACATTACATGGTATGCTATGACCACAAAAAGAACCCCCAGAGAATTCCGTCAATATGTAGGGGTCCCAAGGGGTTGTTGGGCTTGGGGTGGCAAAGGAACCTGCTTCTTCGCTGCTGCACAAGCCTCCTCGAGCTCGTTTCCGGCACACCTGGCAACGACCAGCAGCTGCACGTCATATGGGTACTTGCCCCACAAGGAGCTGGTATGGCCAACATGTGCTTTAAATGTCCGAAATGGGATCTGCATCACGTTCTGGGAAACCAGGGCCGCGGCATGCTCGCACTCAACGATTTGTTCCTTGAGCAACGAAGATGCCTAGTCTCCTTTCTCTACGTGAGCGTCTCGAGGATTCGTTTGGCCTTGGTCGCCCAAGACTTTGTTCAATCAAGGGTCAGGGTTAGGGTGACACTAAATCTTAAATCCGAAACCCTACCAACACTAAACCCTAAACCCTAAACCCAAAGCCCTGAATCCTACGCCCTAAACCCTAAACCCTGAACCCCTTTAGTACCTTATGGAGCCCTTATAGTTCCTTTAGAGGAACCCTAAACCCGTAAACCCTCTAAAGGAGCCGTAAACCACGTATCCCAGGCCCCTAAACCCTAAACCCCTAAACCCCCAATCCCCTAAACCCCTAAACCCTAAACCCTAAACCTCCATACCCTAAACCCTAAACCCTGAACTGAACCCCGGGCCTCCCAATGCTTTAGCAGCTGCACCAAACTGCGCAGCTGCTCGGGGCGGAGGTCCTCCAGGATCTTTGACTCTGCAGCTTAGCCGGTGGGGGGTTCCATAAAAGGGGACAATAAGGGTTGCTATAAGGGTCTATAAGTCTGTAAGGGTCTAGGGCTTAAGGTTTAGGGGCTTAAGGGGGGTTCAGGGGTCTAGGGGTTTAGGGGTTCCTTTAAAGGAACTATAAGGGCCCCATAAGGTACTATAGGGGTTCAGGGGTCTACAGGTTTAGGGGTTTAGGGGTTTAGGGGTCTCGGGGTTTAGGGGTTTAAGGGCTTAGGGGTTTAGCGGTTTAGGGTTTAGAGTTTAACATTTGGGTCTTTGACTCTCAAAGTTTTAGGGTTTGGGGTGGAGCTATACCGGCTCCTTCAGGGGGATCTATATGGTGTTGTGAGTTTCTATAAGGGATCTTTAGGGTTTAGGCTTTGGGCTGTAGGGTTTAGGGCCTGGCTAACTTTAACGCTTCGAGTTTAGGATTTCAAGATCAGGTCAGGGTTTAGGACTTCGCGTTTAAGGCTTAGGGTTTAGGGGTTTAGGGTTTAGGATCTTCGAGCTTAAGCTGTTTCGGCTTAGGGTTCAGGGCTTAGGGTCTTCGGGTTTAGGGTTTAAGATCTGAGGGTGTTAGCGTTTGGGGTTTCGGGTTTTTGATTGAAGGCTCAGCGCTTTGGGTTTGGGCTTAGGATTTAAGCGACCTCCGTCGTCACCGTGTTAAAGGCTTATTAACCCGCTTTTTTCAGGGCCCTGGGATGCCTTGTAACACCGTTACGAAGGGAAGGGGTTGTTTCATGAACCAGGGGTTTGCATTACTTTGCTTTTGCTGGAGGGATGGGCTTCAGGGTTCTGCATGAATCCTAAACCTTATAAGGCCCTACTAAACCCCAATACTAAACCCCAAACCCTACGGACCCCGTATAGAAACTCGTAAAAACCATAGGTTTGCAGGGTTCTGCACAAATTAAACGACCATGGAACTCTGAAAAGCTCACAGGGACCCTTAAAATGGCAGGGGGGAAGGGGGCAGGGGAGTATACTTCCGTAAATAGGCCTTATTCGGTCCGCATTAAGGCCCCCTGCCCCCCCCCCCCTACCCCCCTACTTGGAGGATCATGGGACTTAGTAAGTAAGGTTATAAGTACCTTAAGTGGGGTTGTAAGTAATTATAAGTATAGCTACCTTAGTTATAACCCTAGTTATTAAGTCCCATGATCCTCTAAGTAGTGCTTGTTGTTGCTCAAACCTTTGTGTTAGCCTCCCCTAGCCGATTAAGGTCGTTATAAAGGCCCCCTACCCCCCCTACCCCTACCCCCCTAAGCGTCCCCATGAAATGAAAAGAAGAGGTTCTGGCCCGGCTCTAAGGCTTGGGACTTGGACCCTCCCAGACCTTCCAAAATCCCTTAATTAAGGAATATCCCTTAAATTATAGTAAGATCCTTGATATGATTTAGGGTATATTCCTTAATTAAGGGATCTTGGAAGGTCCGGGCCTGAACCCTAAACCATCAGTCGCAAACCCTCAAACCTCAACCAAAAAACCTAAAACACAAACCCTTAACGCCGTAGATCCCTTTGAAGGAACCCTTATACATCCTTTTAAAGGAAACCCTTATAGATCCCTTTAAAGGAACCCTTTGTGATCCTTTCAAAGGAACCCAAAAGCCTAAGACCTAAACGCCCTAGAGCTCCTTATAGCCTTTTAGCTTGTAGCCGTATAGATCCCTTATAGGAGCCCTTATAGTTCCTTGAAAGGAACCCTAAACCCTAAAACCGTAAAACCCTCAACTCTAAACCCTAAACCCTGTAGTACCTATAGATCCCTTATCAACACCATGTTGATCCCCTTATTATTAAAGGAACCCTAAACCCTAAACCCTAATTTAAACCCCTAAACCCCTAAACCCTTTAAAAGGAACCCTAGAGCCGAAACACACCGGCTCTGCCTTCAGCGCGGCCTGCGGTCTGATCTTCAGCCGTGGGCCCACCTGGGAAACAAGGAGCCAAGGGCTCTTAGTTTTGGGGTTTAGGGGTTAGGGGTTTAAGGGTTTGAGGTTTAGGGGTTTAGGGGGTGTAAGGTCTAGGATTTAGGGCCTGGGGGTTCAAGGGTTTGGGGTTTAGGGGCTTAAGGGTGTAGGGAGCAGGGCGTGGGGTTTAAGGGCTTGGGGTTTGGGGGTTCAAGGGTTGAGGGTTCAGGGGTTTCATGGTTTAGGGAACCAGGGTTTAGGGTCCCTCAGTTTTTATTAAAAGTCCCTCAGTTTTTTTGTTTAAGGTCCCTCAGTTTTTTTGTTAAAGGTCCTCCCTCAGTTTTGTTCTTTTAAGGGAACCCTGAAAGAACCCCCAGGAGCAAGAAGCGCCCTAAACCTTAAACCCTAAAGGTCCCTCAGTCTAGGGTTTAGGGTGTAAGCTCAAGTACCCATGAAGCGCCTGGTCCTTTAAGTAGACCCTAACCCCAAACCCTAAACCCTATAGATCCCTTTAAGGAGCCCTATAGATCCCTTTAAGGAGCCCTTACTAAGTCCCATGATCCTTAAAGGAACCATTACCCAACCACCAAAACTCCCCCTAAACCCCTAAAACCTATAGATCCCTTATAGGAACCCTTAAAGGAACCCTTAAAGGAACCCTTCAAGGAACCCTTAAAGGATCCCTTTAAACCCTATAGATCCCTTCAACCAACACTCCAAAACTCCCAGCGCCTCGTGGCTCCAGAAGCCCTCCGCAAAGCGCCGGGGAAGCCGCTTGGCGAGCTCCTCCGAAGGCTTCAGGTTTAGTGTTTAGGGTTTAGGGGTTTAGGGTTTAGGGTTTAGGGGTTTAGGGTTTAGGGGTTTTAGGGGTTTAGGGTTTAGGGGTTTTAGGGTTTAGGGTTTAGGGGTTTAGGGTTTAGGGTTTAGGGGTTTAGGGTTTAGGGTTTAGGGTTTAGGGTAGAGCTCCTCCGAAGGCTTCGGGTTCCTTTACAGGGTTCCTAAAAGGGGACCATAAGGGTTACTATAAGGGTCTATAAGGGTTTAGGGTTAGGGGTTCAGGGTTTAGGGGTTTAGGCTCCTCCGAAGGCTTGAGGTTTAGGGAGCAGGGGGTTAGGGGTTAGGGGTTTTAGGGTTTAAGGTTTAGGGCTTAACCCTGAACCCTTAACCCCTAAACCCTAAACCCTGAACCCTAAACCCCTAAACCCTGGATCCAAAAGCCCAAATCTAAAACCCCCAATCCTGAACCCTAAACCCGTGCCCAAGAGCTCCTCGCATGCGGGCCTGGGCGCACGTTATTTCGCAGCTCCAGCG